TAGAGTTGGGGGAATGAAGCCTGGTCCGAAATCACTCATCAAATTGATTGATCAATCCTAATCAATGACAGATCTAGAATTTAGACGATAATCGTAGGTTGTAGAATATATATATTGTACTTGTTTTATGTAAATATATAAGGTTCAACGATCCAGAAACACTGTGATTGGATTCACCACTGACTTTTCAAAAAGAATGATTTCTAACCAGACAACATTCTCCTCAACAAAATCTTGGATTTTTCCTAATATTTCACTTTGGAGTAAAGAGAGGAGGAGGAAGAAGAAGTAGCAGTATATATATCCACAGGATATACACAAGATAATATATCTACAAGATATACAAAACTATAGACAAAAACATGTATGATTCTAGTGCTTGGATGGCACAATATCGATGAAAAACTCGTAGAGTTGAGGGGAATGAAGCCTGGTCCGAAATCACTCAATAAATTGATTGATCAAACGATCTAATCTATGATGGATTCAGAATATATTTAGACATTTTAGGGCCTAAAATATATATTGTACTTGTTTTTCATACATATATAAAGTTTAACGATCTTGAAACCCATGACTGAATCCAACCACACTTTTCTATAGAATGATTTCGAACCAGACAACATTCTCCTCAACAATATCTTTGTTTTCCCCTAATATTTCACTTTGGAGTAAAGAAGAGAGGGAAGAAGTAAGAAGTAAGAAGTAGAAGTTGTAGTAAGGATGCATGACATATATATAGGTCCCTTAGTTATACATGAAAAATGACTATTTTGCTATTTTATTTTTCTAGCTAATAATACTTTTATAGTTCTTTTCTATTTTTAAGAAATCATTTAAATTTTGAATGGTAACAAAAAAATAACTATTGAATAATTTAAATTAGTGTAAGATTTGGGTTAGTTTTAGCTAGGGAGAGTAATTACTATTTGCTTCTTACAATGATTGGTCTATATAAACTTTGTTATTTAGGGATAGTCAAAGATCAATTGTCTTCATAATTAATTAAGATGAATTTTATAACAACATATTTTCAAGAATTGACAATTGTTATTTAATATTTTCTCCGTTTTAATTTATGCGATGCAATTTGTCTGAGCACAGAATTTAAGAAATATGAGAAGACTTTACAATATTCCAAAACTACCATTACAAAGAATACTTATTTTTGGACTTTTGCCAAATAAGTGGACCCAACATGATAAAATGTTGATAGTTTCATTAAATATTTATTGAATAAAGAAATATGTCATTCTTTTGGAACTAAGTGTCGTATAAATTGAGACAAATGGAGTATTATATATTGCTAAGAAAGATTATGGGTATATATAGAGTATACCATCAAATAATTTTACAACTCAAGGATAAACTTGATTAATTAGGGGAACTACTTAGACCATTTGGCTCTTACAAGTTAAATTAGTTGGAGTTAAAGACCATTTCCCTCTTAATTATAATTTAAAAAACTCCAAAATTAACATTTCTTAACAATATATTGGTCATCAAGAAGACAAATATATATCAACAAGTCTAAACAATCAAGGCATTTAGCCCTACCTACCCTGCCCACCCTATAAATCCATGTTTTAAACAACCCTATTATTATTAGTAAAAAAGGAAGAAGTAGAAAATGAAAAAAATAAGAAAAGGTTAGTAATGGTTGGGCTAGGGTCAAAATAGTCTATCAAGTATATTTTTAAGAATATCAAAGGTGATTTAATTTTCATGAATTATATCTGTTAGATTTGAGGGAATCGTGAAAAAAATTCAGAAATACCATAAAAGTTTCATCAAATTTTAGAAACCGCAACATAAAATACTGTAATGAACACAAAAAATACCAAAAGTTGCACGTCAAAAATCTACAACGGACTATAATTTTACATGTGTAAACATTTCACTTAATCAATAATCCATTATTTAGGAAAAATACTCTATTATTAAAGGAAAATAGCCCCATATAATTCTCAACTTTGTCATTCAAAGTTAATATACCTCTTATTACAAAAGTGGAACACATATATCCCTACCATTATAAAAATAGCTTACATATACCTCCACCGTTATCCGTTTATATGATCCTTTTGACACATCTGTGAGCCATTTGTATAACAATAGGGGTATATATGAGTCATTTTTATAATGAAGTTATATTAGATCTAAATGTGCAAAATTCTTATAGACAAGAAACTGAGTGTCGTCTTCTCTTTTGTTGTCCTTTTTTTTTTTTTTAATTTCCCATCCGGTGTTCGGAGCCCACATTGGAGCTCCCCGACTAAATCTGGATCGCGCTCTGCAGGGCCCATTCGGGGGTGGTGCTCCCAACAAAATTTTCTCCATACCCAGGGCTCGAACCCGAGACCTTTGGTTAAGAGTGAAGCACTCCCACCAATGCACCCCCAACTCATGTTGGTAATAATAATATTGTGAGATAAAACTGAACCAACCCTCTTTTGTTGTCCCAAGATAGAATGATTCCAAGCTTGAATGAAAAGGCAAAAACCAGTTGCCTAATTAAAGCTTTTGCAGATCTAAGCCCAACAAAATAGTGAAGGATAATTAGGTAGGTGGCATAACAGGATGAAAAAGTACAAATGGCCCAAAAAAAAGAGGGGGTGGGGGGAGGGGGGAGTGGTTATCATGTGATGTTAACTGTGTTAGATGGTACTTCATGTCCTCAAAGTCAAGTCCACTTTAAAATCTTGAAAATGACATTATGCTAACCGGTACTCGAGTCGAATTCAATATTTAAATTTTATGTTCCTTCAAAAATGTTATACTGTATTCATGTTGGATCTCCAAAAATGCAAGTACTTTAAAATCTTTAAAGTGACACTATGCTAATTGATATTCAATGGGTTGGATTCAATACTTAAAATCCTATATTGTTCAGACTCCTCGAAAATGTTATCTCATTCATGTTATATCTCCAAAAAAAAAAAAATTGCAAGTCCATTTTCAAATCTTGAAAGAGCCATTATACCAATTGGTATTCAATAGGTTAGAAATAATACTTAGATTTTGCATTTCTCAAATTCATCAAAAATGTTAATATATTCATGTCAAATCCTCCAAAAATGTTGACACACCCAATAATATTTTTAAAAAGTTCGAGCAATATAACTCAAACTTGCCTATGTCTTAGGGATACTAATCTTGACTACAAGATTGTCATTAACAGTAAGTTCCTAATCTTTTCTTGTTTATGCTTCTTTTTAGAAGCTTAATTATTGAATGATCACTTCAGAAAAAACTATTTGGGCAATAATTTTAGAGAAACCTATAGATATAGCTATGATTGGAGCTACAACCTAGCATTAAGCAATAATTCTACTTTCTATGGTTGGTGTAATTGTCAAGGGAATTAACAGCTGTTTCCTTGCATGATTTTAGGTAATTCTTGTCCCATGAATTAATTTTTTGTAGTTGAGTTAAGTCAAAAAACTATTTTCTTGACGTGGTATCAAAAAGAAAGGCGGTGAACATCTGATTTTACTGGAAAACCTAAATGGGATTGAGGATAAGCCCACTTGTCGAAAAAAGGCTTTATTTTATATGTCACTCGATGACTTGAGGATAAGCCCACCTGTCGAAAATAGACTGTTTCTCCTCAGATAATTTTCGCCTCATGAATTAGCTTTTGAGTTTACAGAACAAAAGTTCACTTTGTTACTGATTGTTAACCTACTGTAATCCTCCTCCTTTATCCGAAATTGAAACCGTCAACCATTCGCCTTTCAACACAGCAAGAAATCAACCAAGTACTTGAAAAAATAATTGTCATTTACCTTTTTTTGAAAGAGTAAGAGCAAAATAGCTTCAACAGGCATATCAAGTTGACAAAGGAAGGGGCTAAATCTATAGAGACTAATTGTGACACCCCAACTTAAGATTAAAAGTTCCCCATCGGAGATATTGGGTATAAAAGTAAATAGACCTTACCAACTAATGACACGTTTTAAAGCCATGCAGGCCTAGGCACAAAGCAGACAATGTCACTAGCGGACTGGGCCATTACGCTAATAGAACTCAACAACAGACAGTGAGGGACAAAGAGTACATGTTTCACATTGCAGAATTCCATATATATCCAGCACAATGATTAAGTTACTGGAAAAAAAATGCATATCTAGACAGTAAAATAAATAAGGTAGTACAACTAGTATAATTTTCCAGCATTGACATTAATATTTAATGCTGAGTTTGAGACTTTTAGCACCATATCTAAAGCTCACAAGGTTCACGAGCATCCGAAAACTTAGGAGTTGAAACTGGTAAAGTTAGAGCAAGTGTACCAACTTGACAAACCAGCGATGATCGATAAGATACTCTCTTAGATTACATCCTGCTGGATGGTACCTAAATTCAACTCAAAAGACCTTAAGAAACATAGTTTAGAGTCAATTGAAGCACATATATCCATAAACTAATGTTTAGAGTCAACTTTTAAAAAAACAATATAGAGACTATTTCAAAAGCAAACATAACTAAAAGACTCAAGACTATTTTGACTAGTGATTTACCCTATTGATAGAAGTAACAGTTTATGTATCAGTATCACTAACAACATCTTAAAGGGCCTTTCCTCACTTTGTTTCCACGGCGGCCACAGACCCTTCCGTCCTTTTAGGGGCAAATGGAGCTTTTGAACAAACAGAAACTAGTATTTTCAAGACAAAATACGAATATATACGTGAAAAAACACTAACAATTCAACAAATCTTAAATTCTGATCCAATTATTTCAATAGTGCAACGAGTTCATGATAAGAACATTGATCCTGTCAAGTTTAAATCCAGGATCCGTCTAGCAAACTACACGTTACAAATAAATAAACATGACACATCCCTTTATTTTTGTGAACTTCATTACCTGGAATGCTGACTACACCAAGGCTTCAATGAGAATAATTTCAAGAGACAGACAGATAATACTTAGATCGCTAAGGAAAAACTGCAATAGACACGTTATAATTAAAAATGCAATGTACAAAGTGAAAGTTCCAAATAAATAGAAATTGAACGATAGCCAGTATCTTCATAAATAGATTACAAGAAAATGAAGTCTCTTTACACAAGCATTGGAAATAACTTACAGAAATTTACACTTCATAAATAAACGTTACACAGACGACTGCAAAAAAAATCTTTTGCAGTTTTAAAAGCAGTCAAATACTGTTACAGCATAACAAGAAGCAAAACCAAGAAAAGATAAGTTCTTAATCTTATTAAATTAGAAGACTCACAAAAGGCTCAAGAATGAACGGTAATGTCCACATTCATTTCTTCACGCATCGTAGTCATATATGATTCATTTATCTCCTCCGCATGATTGGCTTCGTTGTTAAATTTGTAAATGGCAGTACCGTTCTGAATATTTATACGGTCTTTCCTATTTCTGGAACCAAAGGCATCATTTTCATTGTTAACTTCAAGACTGTGGCGAGTTCCTCGATCATAAGCTCCCACCATCCCTTTGTCTAAACCAACTGAGTCATTGCAGCTCTTCCTTCTGCCCAACCTTGGTGATTTCGCACGAGTTGGCGGTGCCTGCAGTTCAAAGAAATAAGAATTTAGAATAAGAAGGTGGTTATATACCATAGACAGTTAGGGATATCAATATTTGGGCGAAACGTTATTTGCACTGTGACACTCTTAAGGCCGGTTACAACTATGTAAATGTTATACTGCAGATCAAAATTTTGGTGAATGCCTCGTCTAAAATTTACATATCTATGTAAGTTTGATTACAGTGGTGTTATGTATTACCTTCTTCAATTCAGTCTTTGGTGGAGGTCCCTCATGGTAGAAGCTCGGCATTGGGCTTGCCTTAAACATCAGACTCTTTCTCAGTTGCTTTATAGCTGTTTCTTTCTCTTCCTAATAAGTGAAGGAACAAACGAAAATTATGTTATATAGTTGAAGTTTGATTGTTAAGATATTCATTTACTCGGTTTTTGTTAGTATAAGTGATAGCTGTAGCATTAATAAGATGCACCTTTGTCCTTGCCTCCCACTGAACTTTTTGGGCCTCCAACGCTTGATGTTTCTCCTCTAATTTCGAGTAAAACTGCAAAGAGGAAATCAATATAAGAACTAACCAATATTTTGACATTTTACTTTAAGAAAGTTCCTCTTTCATTGTTGTTCTTGTTGTCATTTAAAAGGGGCAAGATGAGAAGAATAACAAGGTAGAAATCTGATCAAACATAGAAACAAACACAAGTTTCAGTAAGCCAGTAAATCAATAACTACCTCTTTCCTTTTCTCTATACGTTCAGATAATCGGAACACAGGGGATGACGCAACAGTGGCCCTGGATTTTCTTGCTGGTAGCGTAGCACTTCTCGTTGTGGATAAATTATCAAACAGAAACACAGCATCATAAGACAAGGGAACACGTTAGAAATAGCACAAACCTTATTAAGCTAAATAAGGGGAGAAAGTGGATACCAAGAAGTGACTGAGCATGAGTCTTCTTCATCGGAATGCTTCTTGTTATCAGGTTGTAGCGGTTTCCTAGTTGCAACTGCTGATGAGATCTAGACACAAATACAATAGCCACGAAATAAGTTATTAACAGGCAGTCGGATCCATAGAACACTAGTGTAATCGCTATGCATTAACTTCTCTGGAACAGTAACACATTTCAGAGGAGTTTTTTTATCAGCCAAGAGAGAACACAAGGGCAATATCATTTCAAAGATCAAGTGCTATTGATAGATCCTCTCCCCTTAATGATATAAGGATTCACAGATAAGGTAAAAATCTGCATCGTAAACTAACCTTGTTTTGTTTCGTACTTGGGACTCGCAAATTATTGGCTTCGGGTGTCTTATAATTGACATTGTCTGCATCATTCCCAACAAGACGAGTTCCATGAGATGCACGCTTCTCAGTTGCCAAAGCAAATGGTTGAGGAACTGTACACTTTGTTTTGCAGTTTCCACCAGCAGATTTGGTTGCTGATTTCACTGAGGTTCTTGATCTCTTGTTATCATCTTTTAATTTTCGGACTTCAGAGTTGTTCTCCTTTGTAGGAGATTCAATCTCACATTTTGAGCTTTTTGTGTATTGCTCCTTGGTACTTTCAACTTCCGACAGTTTGGACATCTCAACTGATACTTCAGCTGTGCATTCCTTCACTTCGTACTCCTTCGTTTCAACACTCTCGTTCAGCACATCAGTTTCTTGCTCCCCAATAATAAGCTTGGATGACTGAACATCTTGATTACTTTCAATTAGGCAAATTGAATCTGGAGAAGCGCCATCACAGTAACTTATGCTACCATTTTGCTCCTTGTCCATACAGATATCAGTAACTTCCAGCTCCATAATCTCTGAAACTACGTAAAATAAATAAGAGAGACATTCCATCAAAATAAACTGACATTTTCTCTAAGGACTATGTTATCCCATGAAATGTTTAAACTTGCTCATTTCTTTAAATGGGAAAAACCCCCAAAGTCACTGAATCTGAAAAGGCTTTTATCTTTCTCCGGCACCATAGAGCTGCCTTGTAGTCCGACACATGTTTACCATAACAGCCAAATCTCACACCAGTCACTAACTCACAAAAGATCATCCAACATCTCGTCAACGTCATTATGTATTTGATATTAGATGATTTAGAGTACAGCTTTTTAACGGACATAGGGTGATAAAAGAAGAGCCTTTTTGCAATACGAAAATTAAAGATAGAGTGTGCAGTTTAGGCAAAAATGTGAAGATACTAATACTAAATATAATACTATAGCTGAAGAAAGGAAATTTGATACTTCAAATGATAACACCAGAACCTTTCCCCACACTATGTTATCAAGTCCATTTACATATGCATATATCTACAAAGTCCATTTACATATACAAATATATAGTCAACTTATAAAAATAAAAACATCCAATAACAACAACATTTCTGGGGAGGATAAAGTGTACACAGACCTTACTCCTACCTTGTAAGAGAGATTGTTTCCAATAGACCCTCAACTCAAGAAAAGTGTTTTAAAAACAGGTTTAAAAAATTACAAGAGTGAAAGAAGCTCCAATGAAAATACTAAGAAAAGAGAAGTATTGACAACAAAAATAGCAAGATAACCAAAGCAAAGAAACAACACTAGTGATAAATTGAAGAATTAGATACTAGAATAATAATAATAATAATAATAATGCTGAAAAGGACAGAAGAACATCCATATATACAAATATATGCAAACCTATGGCTACAGAAACCTACATAAGTTTGCAAGAGATCCAAGAATTCCAATGAGTCCAACAACTTGTGTTAGTTAAGGAGATCCCAGACACGGTGATTGGAGGAAAGATGGAATATTTTACACGCATTTCATTGCAATCGACTATCTATTTTGAAAGTTAAACGGCAAAAGCCTGTACAACAAGCAATATATATAAGGGATACAAAAACAAGAACAATTTCTTTATACGAGGGATCTAACTAATTACCCCCTATGTTCTAAATACTTCTCATATTTCACACTAAGTTCAGTAACAGTTAAAAGTGTCTTTTGCCATTTTGATGCTAAATCATAGTTTTTGAGTATCTAAATTTGAATTTTAAAATATGAACTAATCTAGTTGAGCTCAAAAAAATGGTTAAATTTTACATTCAATAAGCGAAAAGCACCAAACAACACAGTACATATAATTGTGTCCTGTAAAACTAAACATTCCAAATTTCAGCAACCCGATTAACTTCCATATTCACCTCTAAAATCTGAATCAAACTATCTAACTAATGGAAATAAGTCATTCCTAGACTCCAAAACAGTTCTTCTTCAATGGAATATAATCGAAAATTTTACCTCAAAACCCATTTCAAGACTTCATATTCAACTACTGCTTCCAAATGCTTACACCAACCAAAACTATAGCTAACAACAACAACAACAAGCAAACCAACCTAGTGTAATCCCACAGGTGAAGTGTGAGGAGGGTCGAGCGTACACGGACCTTACCCCTACTATGAGAAGATAAAGAGACTGTTTTCAATAAACAATCTCGGGTAAAACCTCAGTATTTAGACCCCCAAAAAGTTTCATCTTTCAAAAACACATACCCAAATCATCCAAAGAAACATTTTTTACAAAAGAGAGATCGTTTCCGATAGACCCTCACTATTTAGACCCCCAAAAGATTCATCATTTAATACCACATTCCCAAAACTATCCAAAGAAACAATCTTTACAAAGAACACATAGTTGAGACCCTGTCCTAATGTAAGCATAGATCTAAACCAAGAATTCACATTGCATTAAAACCCAAATTCCCAAAATGCAAGAATCAATAGCAACAAATAAAAAGATCAAAACTTTACCAAGAATATATCAAAATAACACAAACCCAAGAAGTAAGAAGTACAATATGTGCAAAAAGTATGAATTTTTTTTTTGTAACTGACCTTTGAGAAAGAGTCCACTTTGTTTGATTTTGTTTGTATGAAATTTGGTGTTTTTAGGCTTTATCCAGCGGGTTATGGGAGCGGTGTCTGTGTCTCTATATGTAGGTCGTCCCTGTTACTCATATATTTATATGTCTGCTGCTTCTCTATACCAAAAAAAAAAAAAGGAGATAAAATAATACGGTATACTAATGTTTGGACGATCACGGTGTCCAGACCAGCTTTTATATATCTTGACTAATTTCACGTGATATGTATCACCTACTTTCCATCAACAATACATATTAGATAACTCAGTCTATCAAAACTAGGACAGATAAAATGAATACTACTACTAATAATGATGATAATAAGACAACAAATGTTCGTTTCCTATAAATATTACATTGGGGTAAAGTGCTCGAGATTTTTGGTTAATGAAGAATGAGTACTTATCACTCCATAATAATTTTTGTTTCTTACATTATGTATCATTTTTGTTTGTTTAGTATTCGATTAGACACGCTTCTCAAAAAGTAATAAATAAAAAATAATTTTTATTATATTACTTTTTTAGATATAATAAACTTAATATTTTGATAAATGACCATAATTAATAATAAGAGTAAATTGAAAGTAGGTAATAATTTATCTTTTAAATTTTAAACTAATAAGTAAAAGTATGATAATTTTTAATATAATAAACAAGTAAAAATGAAAGAAGAAAATAGTAAATTTCTATTAAATTAATGAAAAAAATATGAATGAAGCAAGAATTATAACATAGACTAAAATTAAATAATTTAAATAATATAAGATTCAAATATGAACCTTTTGACCATGATATGAATATATTACTAAAGAAAATAACACTCAACAATTGTCTCCATTCATCATAAACTATAATGCTATATAGTTTTTAAATTTTTATTTAAAATTAATAATGTCCTAAATTCTATGTATATATGATAATTTCAGGATTTTACTTTTAAGTTATGGAGTAATTTCATTTTACATGACTTTAATAGAATAATTTCTAAAAATAATTAAGAAACTTTTTTAAAAATATGTACGTAGTATTTTGTATGTTTGTTATTATTTGAATAAAAATATATCTCGTCGTAAAAGTACCATATATACATAAATTGACAGCAGATATATGCATTATAGTTGTAATCTTACCCACTTGCGAAAATAGACAATATATTACCATGTCGGTCGTAGTAAATTGTGTGTTTGGTATGGAGAAAGATATTTTAATTTTTTTTTATGTTTGATTGATTAAATTTTTTTAATAAAATAAGTTTTTTAAAAAAATAATAATAAAATGATTTTTTCTACTAAAAGTATAAAAACAAATTCTACTAGATTAAGGGGTAGTTTGGTAGGGAGTATTAAGAGAAATCGTTCATGTGTTATGTATGACATTATTTAGTACTATGTTTAGTAGAAAATTTGAGCTTATGTATAACTAATCCATAGAATAATCACACACCCTACATGGTATTATAGGATGTATTTCTAAAATCTCCATTTTGATGGTATTAGTAATACATAAGATTTAATACCATGCGATTATCTATGTAAAGACAAAAGTATCCTTACAATTCTTTTAATCATTTTATTTATTTTCTTGATTTTATGTTTTATATTTGTACTAGTAAATTTATTTAAATAAATTAGCTTACAAATTTTATTATTCAGAGAGAGTTGCTTGTTGCTAAATAAATTCAATACACATCAATACAATATCTGAAATGTGAGTTATTTAACATTTACTAATTGAAAAGACAAATATATCATCGAATGACTTTGTGATCTAATTGAATGTACTTTGTGTTGATATATATGTGATTTTCTAATTGTTTGTATTTTGAACATATTAAAACTATAACTTGCAACTTTTATATGTAAATGTAAATGGTTTATTCGATTTTGTTATTGTTTACCGTATTTTCGGTTCTAAATGTAAATGAGCTATCCTTTTCAAATTGAAAATTGATGTTTCGTGAGTGATCAATTTATTAAGATAAAAATTATTTCCCCACAAAAAATTCAAGTGAAAAATAACAAACATGACATCAAAATTGTTCTTCTCCTAACTAGTTAGAAGGTCATTAAAAATAATATTATCTGACAATTATCTACCTTGATCCAGTTACATGAAATAGAAATTCACATAATAATTTAAGGGTATAATTGGAAAGAAACTTTTTGTAGAGTTTTAATCTAAACACAAGATATGGTGGGAAGCAATAAACCAAACACTTGACAAAAAATAATTCATGCAATCCTTGCATTACTAATTTCTACGTTATTAATCTTTGTACAAACGATTCCTAATTGTGTCCTCCTCATTCATCCAACTCACCTCATCTTCACTCTTGATTTAAACAAAAAAAAACTAATGAAACCTAATATTTTTAAAACATAATTTCAAAAATAACACAAGTTCAATGCTGAATAATTTATCAAAGTTTTAATTCTAAATTTATCGCTAATTTTACTTGTATCTCTTATTTCTCACAACTTAAATCTTAGATAATCTTGTTTGTCAAAACTTTAATACATTAGAAGAAATTACTTGATTTTTTTCGTGCCTTATGACATTTAAAACCCTGATTTCTCGCAATTTTTAATTTTTTTTCATTCTTTTATAATTAAACTAGCAGATAATCTTGATAAATTCAAGTAGATTAGAGAATTTTTTTTGCCTAATTTTGATGCTTTAACCATAAAAAGTTAAACAGTCAAGATGACGTTTATGTCTCAACTAAAGAATGATTAGAGACAGAGTTGTACAAATAATTATTGCTTTGGTCCCATCTTTGATTAGTATTTGCCAACTCTTTTGATAAACCCCCTAAACCTTTTTAAAATTTTAATTCCAACCACATGTATTTTTTTATTTACTATTAAATTTAAAATAATAATATTCTCCCAAATATAAAAATTGGTATAGAATTTTTGGATCTTTCCAAGATAGACTGTCACTATGTTGTTGCTATTTTTTTTAAGAATAAAAATCATTACCTAACTTGTTATTTTCCATGCATTTTCTTAAAAAAAAAACTCTTCTCTATCTTCTTCTTTTTTTTGGGTGGGGTGGGGGGAAACATTAGGACCAATTTTATGTGCATAAAATTTGTCTTGACCCAATGCTTGTAAACCAACCAATAATTGCATTCATGAAAAAAAAATCTTTGTTTTCACCTTTTTTTTCTTAATTTTGGGAGAACTCATGTATTTATGAAAGTTTTCAAGTATATATGAACAGTGGTGAAATCAAGAATATATATATATAT